GATACTTGACTTATGACACTCAGACACCCATGATAATCACTACACCATATGAATACTTCTATTCTTTTTTCCTTTATTCGTCAATTCCATTTATGGATTAAGACCCACACCAAATTATAAAATTCTTTTAATTATCATTTATGCTTACTATCACCATCTACATCAGTTGTGGGCAAACTCTCTTGACAGGGGTTAAAATAATCACAAAAAACAGTGCACAGCTAGAAAGACAATAGATTATTTGGCTAAATTCTAAATGGTTCCTTTACCAATGATACCTAACCTGTTATTTACAAAATGATTGTGGAGCATCTACTGCACATTTCCATTTCAGAGGACTATCCACCAGGCTGAATGAATTCCTCTAATTGACTAGAAATATAATGCAGGTCATAGTTAGTCCACCACTGACATACAGAATCCCGTTAATACCTTCAAAATTATCCAAACAAAGAATTTCGTATAATTTAAAATGTAATATGAGAATGCAAAAGCTGACATGAAAAAATTTTGTGTAATTTTGTAAAGTAATCAAAAGTGGCAACATAAAATAATGCAAATGTTAATCACAACATATAATCAATGTACCAAGCACTGTATATGTTGACTTACAAGCAGTTGCTGCAGGCCCTGCTGTTGTTGTTGCTGCGGACAACAGTTACAATATATACGCTGACATACCAACTGTATGAACCTCACATGTACCAAACTAGTGTAAACTGCTACATATATATATATACTTCTTTCTTAACAAGTAATTCTCATATAATGTTTGGCATAGAAATGTCTATCAACACAAGTTTCAATGTATTTGGTTAGTCTTTTACCTAATAAATCTTCACTGATTTGACATAACAATCTATACCAGACATCACATTGTATATATTATGTATATTAACTAGAAATATTCAGGTTTTTATATACATACAGTCTTCGTCTTATTATCAATTTTAACTTGCATTGTCCAACTAATGTTTCTACCTAACTATACAGAGTAGAATACATTATACACGTATGAAGTAGTTATGTTACTCCAACATACAGGAAAATATTTTATAGCCGAGATTTATTTCTTTATATTTAATACTGGATACTCCGAATACCTTTCCTAGAATCAATACAGGTCAGTACTATCACCTGTTCAGTATTATTAAAAATTAAATTAAAAATGAGTAAATATGTAATTAACTACACTCCTCCAATAGTAGTCACGAATTTTTTGCTGCATAAACATAACACAACATCACACCTTTTATCCCCGAATGGGTAGGCAGAGGCGCACATTACAGCAATTAATGCCACTGTACAATGTAACACCCACTTTTCATAGTTATTCATAGTTATTCTAAATAGGAGCAAAACAAGGAAAAGTCATCTTTAATATTCTCAGCATAAAATAATTTTTCTATTTATTCATTAAGTACACTGTAAGCATTAGTTAGATTGATACATAAATAATTTTTACACTGTGAATAACCTTCTTTATTATTAGAAATTGAAATAAAATAAATAAGCAAAATAATTAATGGACTAGTAATGATTTTATTCATAACACTATTAAGCATTACATATAAAAAAATTTAATGATTTTTTTGTTATATTGATTGATGGTTAAGTTTGATATTTATTAAGATGGCTTACCCCGATAATGGCATTGAGTTCAGACATAGTGACTTGTTTAGCTCTCTCCACTGCAGAGGCCACCTGTTGCTGGTGTTCCTGTGCTAGGAACGGGAGCACCTGCCCTATAATAGCACTTAATCTCTTCGCTATCTCTGTCTGTAAATATAAATACAATAAACATTAGATCACTATAAATAAAATTTATGCCATGAGTAAGAGGTAATTTGATAATATTTACCTGTTTATGCATTTCCACATTTAGTCCATATGACATTTCATAATACTGTAAGAGAAATAAATCTTTTAGAATACTCAGTTTTAGAGACTTAATTAAGTATATTAAAATGAAAGAAGAAACAGAAGTAGGATTTTTCTTTCGGTAATATACTCACTTTAGTCTAAATATTTATAAATGATGTTTTGAACTGTTTAGCTTTTATGAAAGGATTAACAAATTCATTACCTAATGTTCATGACCAAAACTCAAGACCAAAGTAACGAAACCATAAAATGCATATTCATTAATTTAGTTCAATTTTCATAACTAGATGGCGTTGCCGCAATTAAAAGCAAGCTATGGTTTCGTTACATCGATTTGCTTAAGATGGTAATTTTTTGTATGTACTAAG